CCTGATGGCTACTAAAACTTGCCCGTCCGACCCCAATCGTGCACTGCGTCTGCCTTCTAACTCCGCCCCCCTTCGGTTAACTGATTTCGCTCATTCAATATATCATCCACCTCTGATGCATGTCGGTCTGCCATGGACTCGTGGCGCTGTGCTAGGTCTCACAGATAGCTGTCCGGGACGTGATTCCTAGATCCCCACTGACTACGGGACCGTAAAACCACACACACCGCGATTGCGGCCGTAGACATGGTGAGGCGTCCCGGGACTTTTGCGCTGCACGACGGAATATGGCCGCTGCACCGGTTATTCCCATTCGCTGGTAAATCTTCCGTACCTGCCCTTTCTCCCCCAGCGACCTCTTTACTTTCGTTTGACACCTCATTATCCACTAGAGGCGAGGGGATGAGTCCCAGGAAGCAGTTTTGAAGACGGAGACACGATCGCTGGGACAAGAGCTTTATTAGCTTGACGTTCCAGATTCCTGCTCGAACCCATCATCAGAGACAAAAGCACGGCACGGATCTGGTGCAATTGCGGACAAAGCAACTTCGTCGGAGGAACCAGAAAACAGATCCGAACGCGAATGGCCGAACACGCTGCAGCAATGTGGAGAAATGACACCAGCTCTCAAGTTGCGGCTCATTCGACGGGTTCCGGCCACACATTCAAATTCGACGAGGCCGAAATTCTCGCAAGACGTGACAACCGCGTGAGCCGGGAGCTGCTTGAATCACGGTTTACAGGCCCCCAGTCTATTAACAAGTGCAATAGCCTTCCCCTTCCATACTCACTGCTGAGACTTCGCCCAGGCGGAGTAATTATCCACGCGGGAGGCGCACAGGTGAACACTTCCCAAAGCCAGGGTCGGTGTATCAGATGGTCAAGCAATCATCACACCAACATTCAACGCACGTGATGAAATTGTAGCAATTAACGACGCGAATGTCGGCCATCGCACCACGTGCAACGATCCCTGATGGAGGTGGGAGCCGTGAATATTCATAAGTATGCGGTAGCATGGCTACTGCATCCTATAAATACTGCAGCCCCTTGTGCTTGAATCACCCACATCTACCATTGTCTCTAAAGATGAGTTCGAGCAGGAATCCGAAACGTCAGGCTAATAAAGCTCTTGTCCCAGCGATCGTGTCTCCTTCTTCAAGACCTTATTACCCCTTACATACAGAACACTGCTGCCAACCTGCCATTTATAGTACTCTGTAGTCGTGTTCATTTTGCCGTCCACAGATTATGCCTGATAGTGTGCAGAAGCAGTCGGACGGGAACTCGCCCCGACGACCTTTCCGACCCAACAATGTTGGCAGTTGTAATAGGTGCGCATTCCCGATAACCCCTGCTGGAACCCCATCTAGCTCCCCTCCTGTGTTGGTTTATTGCATCTACCGCGTGGACAACAGTTTTGTAGATACGCGAAGGCACTTACTTGGCCGAAATTGGGGATATAAGTGAAGGTAAAGCAACACGGTAGGGATGCTGGCGTCGCGAGAACAAGAGGGCCATGCGCAATGGCAGTACTGTCCCCTTTCTCAGTCGCCATCTGCGACACATGTCTCCTGCGTCAAGTGATGAAAAAGTGTGTTTCGTGCACGCGCGTGCAGGGTAAACAGAGTTTACTGTAGCGGGGGACTCAGCAGGATAAGTCGCGTGTCAGCGTATTTGGAAATGGCACGAATGCCCGGCCCCGCACCGCGGGCAAGATACGCGCCCGAAAAGTTTAGGACGCGTACGCAGAGGGCTTAGCCGACTACCGGTTAGGTCCTAGTAAACAAGTTTATCAAAGAGGGCGACTTTGGGGAGGAATCCGCAGGGCTGTTGGTCTCCGCCTGTCCGCAACCTGCAATTCCCTCAACTCCGCTGCAATTGATCCACTGGTTGAAAAGAACAGCAGTCAGGGTTGCATAGTCGGCAACGGTATTGAGAAGGACTCCACGTAACTGTCAGTAGACTGTAGATCGTGCTATGCGTGATTTATGGTAAAGGGAGCTTTGCGGGTAGGGCAGCACGCTAGACAGTAAGCTGACAAAATGAAAGGAAACACAGAACTTGCCTGAATCTATGCCGAAAGTCTTATCCTACGCTACTGTACGACAATGGGAATGAGAGCAGTAAATAAACAATAAACAAGAAGTAATTTTTACAAAATAACGGATTTTGGGTTAAGATGTGAGTTCATGGGAAGTAATCGTTGTTGACAGTGCAATTTCTGCAACAACCTGCATGCCAAAATAAAACGCCATGTCACGATCCACAGTCTACTGACAGTTAAGTGGGGTCCTTATCTATACCGTTGCCGATATTACTTTTTAGTAAGAACGAACCGTTAGGCCTCTGGAATGTTCCGGAACGAACGGCTGCTTGATGGTTTATCTTAGTAAGATCAGTTAGTATCATCCTATTAGCAGCGATAGGTTAATTTGAATTCCCTTAGAATGTTCCACAATGTGTGGCATATTGGGTGGATGGATAGCTGAGTGAGATTATATTTCTAACCCCATGAAATGTCAATTTAAGTAGCATCGTATCCGTCTGTTTATAGATGCTCCTTGTGAAATCCACAACACAATTCGCACCAATTAAAAGAGTTTATGGGCTATATATGACGTCTTTCCAATGAAAGAGAGGGTAAAACTGACTTATATGGCTCCCTAAACGGGACATGCGGAAAGGAACCGCCTGCAATACGAGCGGCTGTGAGCTGACATCCAGTGAAATTAGGGGTTAAGTAAAAGGTCAGGGTTAGATTTTCAGTTAAGGATTATGTTTAAGGTTAGATTTAAAGTTGACGGCAAGGTAAGTTTGGATCAAGTTTGGGGTTAAGATAGGGGCTAATTTTGACAGCGGAGGCAAGTTTTGGGGTAGGGTTAGTCACTAGAAGGACCCACATCGGCATGCGCAACTGCTCTCCCCGGGCAACAACAGAGTAAAACACACGAATAGCAACCCCTTACCCGTTAAATTTCAAAAAGAGCACCTACTCTAGTCCCCAACTTAGCCCCAGCCATGATTCCCCTGAAGCTCAGTGAAGGTCATCAACGTTATAGCAGGATTCCCCGTTGCCGTGTCGACGGTTCGCAATCTGAACCGCTATCAGCCAGGTATCCGCTGTGTATCACAAGGTTGCCTTCCTAAATCCTGAACTAGGAGTATCAAACAGGCGTAGCTCGTTCCCCTTAAGAACGTGACTCCACAGACGCCTGCCGGGTGCCCATTCACAAACGAATGGCGAACGTGCGAAAGTTCAGCATCACTGTGGTGACCTGGCGGCCACGCGAGTTGGCATGTCGCCAAACCTAGTAGACATCAACGATAGTCCAAGTGTCGTTTTTATGATATTCCGGACCATGAGTTCCTCCTCCTCCTCCTCCTCCTCCTCCTCCTCCTCCTCTCGAATGTACAGTCAACGCTCTTAACCGTCTGGGCTGCGGGGCTCCGACCGAGGGCCTCCAGTTTTTCACATTTGGACTAAGATGCCTGCCCAACCTACTACAACGCCCGCAGTCCACCAACTCTGATATAACCGTCGTTGCAGATGATGTCCACCGTGGGCTCCCGTGCAACATGTGGCAGGTACGGTGACTCGTGCGTAAATTAGTTTATAGAGAGAGTAGACTTGCGCAGCATCTACCGCAATTCCTCCTCCTCCTCCCTCGCCTATGCCCGGTGTCAAAGCAGAGTCAAGAAGACCGGAGGCGGAAGAGGGGGGAGCAGGTGACTGGCACGACCGGACCCGCAACTAGGCGCACCACCGCACCCACCGGGTAAGAGCACATCAGGCAGCGAGAGAGCGATAATTTGCTGACCGTGGCACAGCAGATGCTTACATAACTTGAGGTCCAGAATAGTGGCACGCAGCCGCGCATTTAACCTGGGCCACCACCCCTCAAAGGCTGGGTAACCAGTCAGTCGTAGACTAAGAGGACGCACACACACTCCTTACATGCGTGAGTGCCAGGGGTCACGTTAAGGAGCCATAACAGTTTGGCTCTCAGCCCACCAGTCCTACACTCCACACAAACACACAACTGGGCAGGCCGCGTAGACAGAGTTGAGGCGGCCGTCGACAGCCTTCCAAGGAGATCAGTATATTTAAGTTCTATAGGTTCAGACCTAAGTTTTTATGTACGAATATTTGAGCCGAAGTCCATCAGCCACAGCGGATAACCGCGTACTATTCATTAACTGCCGACAGGCAGCTAGTAGTATACAGCTGCGTCATGCAGCGGCAGGATATCGGCGAAACACGCGTGTATGGGCTTTTGGCTAGTACCTGTGCCGTTAGTATGGAATCACCTTACCCTAATGCCTTCCAAGGCTTTGCGCACCATAATAGTCTCAGACTCAGATCACACATGCAGCAAGGGGGCGGCATATGGAGGGGTCGAGAACCACACTTGCGTGGGAGGTGGCAATCGAATGGTTGCGATGGGTGCTGTTGGTGTGAGGTGCGGATGCTGGGGGGAGGACGACGAGACGGTGTGGCACAGCCGGCGGTTGTCTACCACAGGTCTTCATGTAGGCCCATGAGGTGGCCGAGTGTACGGGGACGGTTGAGGTGGATGCGGCGAGTGTAGGTTAGTGCTCCGTTCGCACCGGTTCGCCACTTACTGTGCGATGGAATCGCAAGTGACCGACCAGACTGATGTGTGACATCAGCGACGTCGACACGGACAGTCTAACATCCGGTTGGATGCTGACCATTAGAACTTTCACGACCCTAGATCCGATAGTATACGATGCCGAAAGTAGTAGATGCGACCGCAGATACCCGACAAATCCCCCCCGCCCCCCCACTGTTTTGAATGCGGAGGTCTCTAAATGCACACCCTGGAAGGCAACCGGATCAGTAAAAGTCGAGGCTGTAGTGACCGGTAAGACATCAAGAAGACGATAATGTTTGCTCAGGTGTGTGTATGACGAAAGAAATATATCTGTACAGTATCATAAGAAAATAAAAAACTGCAGAGGCCACAGGAGTCGGTTCAGTAGAGTGAGGGCGTGGCATTAACCATCATCCTCGGGGCGATTGACATGGACATCAATTCTTGGAACAGTAACTTGCAGGCGTACGGCAATTTGACCAGAGAAATCTACAATGATAAGAGCAGAGACACCAATAGACCTCGTACAGTATGGAGCAAATCCCGACGAAAAAAAACAGCACGACGTCATGTTGACGTTGTGCCAGATACTATGGTGCTTGCAGCAGCCTAAATCAGGTGAATGTAAAAATCAGCAAGAATAAGACAGGGGGGAAAGAGTATGTCAACAGCAAGCATGCGGGTATGATGGTTGAGGCAAAGACTTGAGGTGGCATAAGAACTACCTAGAACAATGGTCCGCATCTAAAGCAGTCTTACAAATGCAGCGACGCAACATCACCAAGGAGGACCTGAACTAGAACGGCGAACGCGGAATATGCGAAGAAGTAAAATAACATATCAAAAAGGGTTAAATACAAACGAAAGGCCATACGAGCCGGGCAGAACCTACAGCAGCAATTAGCGCCAACTGGAGCAGAAAAATCGCACACAACACCGTTCCGCCACATTTCCTTACCGATTTACACGAGCGTCTATCCACAGGACGCCATGCATTTTCAAAGAAAGGCACAACCCGGTCCCCTTGGACCACGGACCCACCTACCAGCCTACAACAACAAACTCAACTGAAATAGTCAACATGTAGACCGCGCCGTCGTACAATCAGAAAGCAGCGGCCCTCCATATTCCTTTCCCGATTTACACGAACGCCTATCAACAGGACGCCATGCATTTTCAAAGAAAGGAACAACTCAAACCTTACAGACTACGGACCCACCTACCAGACTACAACAACCTCAAATGAAATAGTCAACATGTAGACCGCACAGTGGCACAATCACACACAGCAGCGGTCCTCCATATTCCTTTCCCGATTTACACGAGCGCCTATCCACAGGACGCCATGCATTTTCAAAGAAAGACAAAACTCAGTCCCCAAAGACCACGGACCTACCTCCCGGACTACAACAACCTCACATGAAATAGGCAAAATGTAGACCGCGAGTGGTGCAGTCACACACAGCAACGGTCCTCCATATTCCTTTCCCGATTTACACGAGCGTCTATCCACAGGACGACATGCATTTTCAAAGAAAGGAACAACTCACACCTCACTGTCTACGAACCCACCTACCAGCCTACAACAACCGCAAATGAAATAGTCAAAATGTAGACCGCGAGTGGTACAATCCCACACAGCAACGGTCCTCTATATCCCTTTCCCGATTTACACGAGCGTCTATCCACAGGACGCCATGCATTTTCAAAGAAAGACAAAACTCAGTCCCCAAAGACCACGGACCTACCTCACGGACTACAACAACCTCACATGAAATAGGCAAAATGTAGACCGCGCAGTGGTGCAGTCACACACAGCAACGGTCCTCCATATTCCTTTCCCGATTTACACGAACGCCTATCAACAGGACGCCATGCATTTTCAAAGAAAGGAACAACTCAAACCTTACAGACTACGGACCCACCTACCAGACTACAACAACCTCAAATGAAATAGTCAACATGTAGACCGCACAGTGGCACAATCACACACAGCAGCGGTCCTCCATATTCCTTTCCCGATTTACACGAGCGCCTATCCACAGGACGCCATGCATTTTCAAAGAAAGACAAAACTCAGTCCCCAAAGACCACGGACCTACCTCCCGGACTACAACAACCTCACATGAAATAGGCAAAATGTAGACCGCGAGTGGTGCAGTCACACACAGCAACGGTCCTCCATATTCCTTTCCCGATTTACACGAACGCCTATCAACAGGACGCCATGCATTTTCAAAGAAAGGCACAACTCAGTCCTCACACACCACAGAGCTACCTCCCGGACTACATGTAGACCGCGCAGTGGTACAATCCCACACAGCAACGGTCCTCCATATCCCTTTCCCGATTTAAACGAGCGTCTATCCACAGGACGCCATGCATTTTCAAAGAAAGACAAAACTCAGTCCCCAAAGACCACGGACCTACCTCACGGACTACAACAACCTCACATGAAATAGGCAAAATGTAGACCGCGCAGTGGTGCAGTCACACACAGCAACGGTCCTCCATATTCCTTTCCCGATTTACACGAACGCCTATCAACAGGACGCCATGCATTTTCAAAGAAAGGAACAACTCAAACCTTACAGACTACGGACCCACCTACCAGCCTACAACAACCTCAAATGAAGTAGCCAACATGTAGACCGCGCCGTCGTACAATCAGAAAGCAGCGGCCCTCCATATTCCTTTCCCGATTTACACGAGCGTCTATCCACAGGACGCCATGCATTTTCAAAGAAAGGAACAACTCAAACCTTACAGACTACGGACCCACCTACCAGACTACAACAACCTCAAATGAAATAGTCAACATGTAGACCGCACAGTGGTACAATCACACACAGCAACGGTCCTCCATATTCCTTTCCCGATTTACACGAGCGTCTATCCATAGGACGCCATGCATTTTCAAAGAAGGGCACAACTCAGTCCTCACAGACCACAGATAAGGATTCTAAAATGCGATAAGTTTACGAGAAGTGCCCACAGAGATCCGAAACCTTGTTTAGTATGATGACTGCTGCGGTCCGTGAAACTACGACATCTATTCCTGTGGGTTTTGTTCCTGTGCCTATTGTGAAGCAGTCGTTTTTGCTCTCCTGATTTTAACAATTCTCACGAAGAGGTGACTCGTCATGATGATCTTTGCAACATTCGCCGTAAAGGTCCGCACGGTGGGTTTACAAAAACAGCATGGCTAGTCCCAACTTCAGGCGATGTGAAGCAAACAGTGTCGGTGGCGGAAATGATTTGGGAGTGCTTTTCGCGGAGTCGAGAAGCAGGGGGTTGCATGAGGCATCAAAAGTGCGTAGTCGACTTACCTGTGTGGTATTTTTACATCCCCGGCACTCGAAGGTCTTGTTGCGTTGGTGCGCAATAGCGATGAGGCCGCACAGATTGCACACGTACACCTGATAGGGATCACTGGCGAAGAAGAGGCGCTCGCGCAGAAACTGGGCTGCGCCGTGGGCGATCTGACAGTCACGCTCCATCTCACCGAACCGGAGGCCACCATCGCGACTGCGACCCTCCATGGGCTGGCGGTTGAGAATCTGCACCGGGCCACGAGCTCTGCTGTGAATCTTATCGTCCACCATGTGTTTCAGGCGTTGATAGTAGGTTGGACCGAGGAAGATTTGCGAGTTCAGCTTACGCCCTGTGAAGCCGTTGTACATGATCTCGTTGCCGGTGTGCTGGTAGCCGTATTCTTGCAGCAGGAGGGAGATCTTGCGTACGTTGACAGCATCGTTGAAGGGTGTAGCGTCACCGATTTCGCCCTTATTAGCGCTAACCTTGCCCTGGTGAAAGGGGAGAGATTAAAATGGAATTTTGGGGAGGTTAGTCAATGCATAGTGGGTAGTTAAAAACTGAGGAGGTATGCTGGACAGCCGTTCTCACAAAAACGACCCAAGATTAAGCCTTAGATTAAACAGATCAGATCAGTTGCCGTCATTGTCTCTGATGATGGGTTCAAGTGCGAATCCGAAACGTCAGGCGAATAAAGCCCTTGTTTCAGTGATCGTTTCTACTTCTTATCAGATCAGAAGGGCTCTTATAAGGTATCGACCCATTGTTTTCACATTCTTACAGAATGGTAAAAGAGAAATAACCCTGAAGCAGACTTGACATAAAAAAGTTACTTGAATGGTGGACGGTGGGGGAATCATGTCCAAGAGGTAGAAATGCACTAAGGAACCGACTATTACAGAAAACCAAAGAGAAAACCAGACGATACACGACCTTCAAGCATTCCCTCCCGATTTACGCGGTAGGTGTATTTCAGAACATACGGAGAACCCGTCTTCCACTCGTTTCTGGTAGTTGAAAAATGGCCCCCCAAAATGGGCCGCTCGGTGGATCAGCTAAACCAAGCGGGGGGGTCAGACTTGCCCATGATAAGTGTTTGTCGGGAAACGCTGAGTCCGCAAGAGCCTCTTGTCTACTGTCACACATGCGTGTGACAGGCCTTGGACGCAGGCTTTTAGGGTACGACAGTCACTACGCCTAATTCCACCACCGGCTAGTTGACAGGGTCGGACAGCTGACTGGTGGTGCAGGGGAAGGGAAGAGTGGGTGAGGAGTCAATTCTCAAAAATAAATCACACAGGACTTGAAGGACAAGACCATGGTCCGCTTCTGAAAATTCAAATGCAACCGACAACTGCCGATCGTGGGATCATTTCGCCCCCACCCCCTCCCCGGCATGACTGAATGCTGCCCGCGCGTTGCACTCTAAATCACGCCGGACAAGTTCTCACTGTAGTCCTAACTCTCATACTTGGACGACTTCTCTCCCCCTCCCCTCCCCTCGCCATAGGCACCCGCATACTAGACCTATGTTTCAGGTTACCTATCACTCTAGGTCGATCGTTGATTGAACAGTTTGCCTTGTCATACAACTATGCAATGACCGTACGCAGCTGAATGAGAGGTCTCGAAATTTATGACGTCGGTAAATACTGCATGCTTTGTCGCCTTTGCCTCATTCAAATTTATTCCGGGAAAACGTTGCTTCAACCTGTGGGATAATCACTGGGTATCTTCTTCCTCGGTAATGCTGGCAGAATCTCCACCTACGCTCATTTCCGTCACCTGAGTATTCATTTGTGACAAGGACCTCTCCCAGAGACAGTACGGACTTCGAAAGCTTCCTTGAACGACCAAAATGATTTTCAGTGCGTGCCAGTTGGGGGGAAAATGAGGATTGTTCTACATGTCGCCCTCGTCGACTTCATAAGGAGACGTAGGTCAAAGTGGACCCCTGGAGATAAAGAAGTCCGGATGCCTCTTAGCTGACGACTGCAGGAATCACAGGGAAATCTGGACCTTTCGCTTCGAACACGCAAAAACGACTGTTATACACTAACCGGCGTCATCGCTGGAAGATACCAGATTAACGGACACTGTCGTCAGAAATTTGTGGATCCACTTACATACCCGGGAAGGACCATCTCAAAGTATCAAAATATCAACCTGGATCCCTAAAATTAATCAGGACTATAGAGAGCAGGCTCCAAGACTCGGTCTGTAAGCGAGTCTTGACAGTAAATCAATGATGTGCAGGGTCATCACCTCGATAATGTTATTCAACGACAGGGCAGACATCTGAACATTATCAAGGCCGAGAAAGAGAACCAAACCACTTCTGCCTAAGCCGTCTTCGGAAAAAACGGAAAATGAAGTGAGGGAAAAAATGACAAACACCTAGATTCTACTGGAAAAAATAAATCAGGCGCACCCATCAATAAAATCCACTCTGGAAGAAGAACAGACCGGTTCACTTCCCTTTCTGGATGTGCTTCTGAGTAGAAGGCCTGACGGCAGCATTCGACGTAGCGTCTACCGTAAGAAAACGTGGTCTGGGCAATACACCCGCTAAACGTTAAACGTAATTTAGCCCGCTGTTTGACAGAAAGAGTGGGAAGAATCTGCTTAGCTGATAGCGTCGAGAAAGAGCTTAAGATCATCGAAAGCCTTTTTCTCCAGAACGGGTAGCCTGATCGATTCATTGCTAAGAACATGGCCGAAAGACCATAAAAGCCCCGAGCAGGAAAGAAATGACTCTTCGTCAGGGTCTCATTTAAAGGGAATGCACCAAGTGAACTTTTAAGAAGACGCCTAGCCCAAGCTGTATCGCAGACCTTTCCTGCAGCTGACACCCGTGTACGGTTGTCCACCAGTCCCATCCTACACGGAGAAGGCAAGGATAAACTACCAGCTCAGACCACCTCTATGTGTATTTAGTCCTTCACCTGCTCCTGTGGGGCAGAATATATTAGTCGCACGAACCGGCGTTTATCCAAAAGAATAAAAGAACATCTCCCAGCATGGTTAGGAAAGGGACAAATAAGGAACATCAACAGCTCAATCCTCGCGCACATGGTAGACACAGACCACCGTTTAGGCGCCAGAGAGGCCTTCAGAGTGATTTACAAGGTCCCAACAACTCATCCAAAGCTACTTGGGCAGCGCCTGCTGGCTACGGCAGAGGCGGCTGCAATCAGGCTACGCGGACCGGTCCTATGCGCACAGAAGAACTTCATACAGGTCCCACAGTTTTCATGGTTCAAAGCCACCACACCAGCCACCCGCATGTAATTACCTTCGCCGGGATCCACCTTCTCCCTGGCGCTGACTGGAATTGTGGTGTTTGACTCTCCCTCTCCCCTCCCCAAACCCGCGCTACAGCTTAATTATCTACTTGCCCGTATCTTTTGACTCATTACTTCAATAGCCATATAAATGAACAGGCCTGAAGAGAATTTATCGAGAGCAGACGTATGCTCGCCAAATTGCCGTTTGCACTTTTCAGTGGGAATTTTCGCAACTCTAAAGCATCTAGGTTCCGGAAACGACTATTGTGTACTCAGCAGCTATGCCACCCTGGAGCAGACTCAATTTGTATGTAGCAGCCACATTCAGGGGCGGCCTAAGCGAATCTTCTGTGGGAAGCGGCGCCGGGGGTGTCAGGGGGCGAACAGTGAATAAGATACTACCTCAAATTAAACCATGATTCCCAGAAATTCTTGCGCGGCACCCACAATCGTAAAAGCGGATGGGTCATCGTAATTTGACGGGATACAGGAAGTCGAGGCAAAAGTTGATCGAAGGCATATTCGTCGCTGGCATTTGTTGTGGACGTTAATTTTTTTTGGCAATGAGGTATAGTGTTTGGGTGAGTCTTCAAATGTGACCTATACGATCATCTGCTTGAAAAAGAACGGTCACGCACTCGTTAACTCCGCAAGTGTCATAGTGAAGTATCTTAAAGATTTTTACAAATACATAGCATAAGATTTATCCCTATGGGCAATCGATTGAACACACAGAAACGTAGACGACCTGAAAATCGACGCAATCCACTATAAGAAAGAACCGCACATAAATTTGACGGAAGGAAAGCTCCCTTAATATACACGGAATGATACGCTTACAATTGTACCTGTCAATTCTATTTCAATTTATTAGTCACTAACCGACCTGTCAACATATGAACTAATTGGAATTTTTATTCCTGTGACAGCAAAATCCTCTTTGCTCCTATTGACCGCATATCGAACAACACAAAAACGGAAAAACACATCGATTTTGCGCAACTGGATCCTGAAACACATGATCGGACATAACGCACTTGACTTTGTGCCAGACTTTATATGAAACTAATTCTTGGAGAATATTAGATGAAAGTTCTAGACATCACTGTACTTAAACCGTTTTACCTAATTTTTTGCGCATGAACAAGCATTATGTATTTCTAAAATCGGAGTCTTCTCATGTTACACGAATTTCCTCGTTTGCGACGTTAGCACTCCTTTTTAAATTGTTCTTTCTCATCAGTGACATAGCGCTTGTAATACCTACTTTGTGTTTTCATTAAACTGGAGGTCGTTCATCACTAGTTCTGTGTTTTTGTGTATGTTCTCGGACTGGTTTTAGATTGGTTGGTGGTTTTTCTTTAATTTAGGCATGTGTCATGAGATATGTAACCTAAAGTAGTCATGTATAATATTGCACCCAGAAACACTACCATGGCAGTTTACGTCTACGTATGTAACAAGGCTGCTCCCAGACACCTAGAATTTCAGCTTAACGAATGATATACTGGTTGCAGCCGCAATTGTATCAAACGTAACCAAAGTCGCGAACGAGGCAGCATTCAGGGATACTATTGATCCAGGGTAGGCATTTACGGCGCCAGAGATGACCTTTTTCCTATGCTGTTGCCGAGACAGCGACAACAGAGAGGAAGCCAGCGCCAATCGTACAGCTGCAGAAGGTCGTTAGACTCGTAGCAGTGAGCGGGCGCTAGTTAGCTCACCCCTTCCCCGCCACTCGCATGGCCTAGCTGCTGGACGAGTCACCGCACCTTGTTCGACTTCTCATTTCCTGCTGGCGTGTTTGCAAGATAATGAAATTTGATGATGTGCTGCGTCGATCGCAGGTTTGGTTTTGCGCATGATCGGCAAGTTAAGAACGTGGCTTCAAAGAGATGTGACAGTAATCTGCCGTCCTAACTCTTGTTGAGGACCAACCACCAATAAGGATGGTCGTGAGGCATGAGTGATGGCGACGGGGTTGGCTGCTGACTGCTAGGGATTGCATGTCTAACAGTGTCCCTGGCTATTCTGCGGATGAGCCACTTCTTTCTCGGCCAGGCAGACGGATCTAGTTTTTGCAGTAAAGTAACGGCTGTCCCAGACTCATCATTGTGTAGATCAGGTAGACAAGGTTAGTCGTGGCTAAGACGGCAACTGCTGGATCCGGTCAGGTGGAGAGATACCATCAACAAGAATGATAAATGCCGAGAATAGGCGACGGCCAATGGGTGCGAGAAGGGACAAACTACAATGGAAATGGCATGTTTTAACTACCTGTAAACACTCGATCAAGTGTCCGATGGTCATTCGACTGGGGATAGCGTGGGGATTGATGATGATATCGGGTGTGATGCCCTCGCAAGTGAACGGCATATCCTCCTGTCGATAAAGGATGCCACATGTCCCCTTCTGACCGTGGCGACTAGCAAATTTATCGCCGACTTGGGGTGTTTTGGTGGTTCGGACGCGGACTTTGCAGAATTTATTTCCTTCGTTGTTCCAAGTGACCATGACTTGATCAACGATCCCGTACTCACTGCGGCGCATGAACACACTGGCATCCCGTTTCGTGTATCGACGTTGGCCAATCTCGATCTAAAAATATGTGCACGCCGTACTTACTTAAATGGTACAAGTACTTATAAATGCAAAGTAAAATAAGTATGGTATGGGGGCAAACGAGGTGGAACAAAAGTGGGCGTGTTTGACATGATCCGAATAAGACGAATGACATAATCCGAAAGACGACGGCATGGCTGGAGATCCGCGACGTCTCCCGTGGTATGTTCATTCCATTGGCCACTTGTGGCGTGGGAGGAGAGACCGATCGAAACTGACAGGGCAACGGGCTCGTTGCCCAGTGGTTAGAGGCGTGGACTTCTAACTAACAGGTCGCGAGTTCGAGCCTCGGGTGTTCCACACTTCGGAGTTGGGTATGACTGGCTGACGACGGCTAACAAGCCAGAAATTGTCATTTCTGTCTCCCTTGTCTTTGTCGGTAATAACATTCTGCCTATATCATGCGCCGCTGAGCGGCTGCTGGTTGGACTCAAGAGAGAGCCCGTAAGGCACAACGAAACAAGTGAGTTCCGTATAAACGATCGGTGAGCGCCCCCTACCAGAGACATTACTGTTTGTGGGTGTTGCCGATATCTGGATTAAGATACATCAGTCAAACGTAACGTCATCTTTAAAGGAGAATTAAAGAACCTGTCAGTCTGGCTTGCAAAAAGGGCCAAGACGACAGTTTTAAGTGTCACTCTAGGACATCTGGTTGAGACTGAACAAAGTCATTTGAGTAATTTGCCGATAATGGAGTGTTATATAAAATTACTGCGACGTACCCAACGCGTCAAACAGATGGAACCCAGTACAAAATATTATGGCAAAGGCCCAACGCACGCATATTCCACTGTCATTGGAATTTGTCTGAACGACCCTCTCCTTCTTCCTACCCTTCCTATATCTCCCACAATTCCTGATCTTATCCCGTCAAATGCGTTGACCCTTTCTTTCTCTCCTAGGCCACATTACCTCATTGATCGACAACACAGATAGCATATTACCGTCCCCCTTGTAGCTTGCATACATACGGTTTGATACTCCATGTAATACAACTGCATTGACATGATAAGAGTCTTAGCAAAACGTTCATTCACCCATCTATGTTCCCTGAAAGAGTCAAGACTATATTTCGTGAACGGTCTCAACCGCCTTTCTGAACAAGTGTGGTCTTCTTGAACCTGATGAGGAAGTCCTAGTTCCTAACATAGTTAAGCAGCGTCGTCGTCGGTCTTTTAAACCTTCGTTCCACAAGTCACATGCGGCAGAAAGATGGGCGGGCCTAGCCTAGAAGTGCACCTTAGGCACAAACGGACAGAGAACAAAACCCACCGCTCTGTGTTCTTGTATGAGCCTTCGAGCGTCAAAGGCGACGTGATATGATGAGCTGGACGCAAGGCCGAGGATTAACTCAATTCCTGAACATGCTGGACTGCTTACTATGGTAAATATGGCGGGTTGTTCAAGTTAGATGCGCATAGATTTTTGACTAGGAAAGAGTTGACTTCAGAAAATAAACTATAATTCGCTAAAGCGGCAAGCCGACACAACTGTCGGTGTGGATCACTGATAAAAAGGAAGCTCTACCCTTTTTTCGCTTACTTCCTTGGACTTGCCTTTTTGAGTTTAAAGATCAATGTACTTGTGTTAAATTCATATGCATAAGTGAATGACTGCTGTTACAGCAAGAGCTACAGAATCAGGAGGAAAAGGAGGGAAAACGCACCTCATCTTCGTTCTCTGGTAATGTTATCGTCTTCCCTATAAGGACATCGTCACCGGAGACACGTGTGCCAGGTGCAATGAGGCCATCATCATCCAATTTGTCGTAAATGGCGTGACGCATTCCCTGGCAGGTTTGAGGGTTGGGCTTTTCAAAGACTTCTTCCTGATCCATTCCATGGCGAGCTTCCTGATCTTTGTAAGTTCGGTAGAATTCGGAACGGAAGAAGCCGCGTTGAATGGCACTTTCATTGACAACCAGGGAGTCTTCCTGGTTGTAACCCGTGTAAGTTGCAATCGCGACGATGGCATTGATACCGGCCGGCAGTTCACGGAAGCGCAGATACTCCATCGAACGGGTGGTCACGAGCGGTTTCTGTGGGTAGTACAGGACGTTGGCGAGGGTGTCCATGCGCGTGTGGAAGTTGCTAATATACACACCCATGGCCTGCTTCCCCATAGCGCTTTGGTATGTGTTACGCGGAGACTGGTTATGATCGCAGAAAGGAATGATACTGGCACATATGCCAAGAATCATGCTGGGATGAATCTCACAATGAGTATGCGTTTTGCAGTAGTTCACGGCAGCCTGCATTTCCGCCGGTCCCATGGCGATCATTACAGTCTCCTCCTCCAGGGTGTCAATGTACTCAACGACACCGCTCGTAACCAGGTCCTGCCAGCTTTTGGAGTTAGCAAAAATAATTGCGGGTTATATCAGCTGCAGAAATTTTCGAGCAAAGCTAGGAAATCGAATAGTGAGCTTAGACTGTAGGTTTTAGGTTGCTATCAGGCACACGGAACGTTGGAGTTCAGTCACGCAAAAACAGATGCAGCAAAATGACAAAGCCGCCGGAAGGCATGCGTACGTCAAAGTACAGATGTTTTCGTCGGCGAAACAAATGCAGTAGGACTCTGACAGTCGAAATTGTGTGCGGAAGAAGGCATGGGAGCTGGAGATCCGATTAACTCTGGAGTTTAAACACTCGTGCACACTTTATGGTTGGTTCTAAGGAGTAAAAATGTTTCTTGAGGAGGATACATGGATACGACAAGGCATTAAGTCATTAAAGTTGGCGATTCGCATATGCCAATAAAGCTGGCTCATCAATAAAAATTGATGAAATGATGTGCAGTTTACGCGGGAGTTTGAGGATGCCGGATAGTTTGTTTAAATAAGGATTAAATCCACTTTTTCTCTCAGAGCTATGCTCAAGCATTCAGATGACAACAGCAAGCTCATCTTCGAAGATACCTCTCGACGGTAGAATTAAGTGCCCGTATACTATGAAAGCTCAGCATTACCGATTACTTTTAATGGCAGAAACCGAGACTAATCAGTACGTAACAAGATTATGGCAGTAAAACACTTGTGCTGGATTGCAATTGGTTTAAACTGTAATCGACTGATTTAAGAGGCGCATAGCAGGCCGGTCATGACGAACATTGCTGACTACTATGTCATTCACATACAACACCAAGCAAACCCTATAAAACAGACAGGACTGGGGGGGGAGGGTTCATGAACCTTCGAATAAATAAGTTGAGGCAAAAAGACAAATGAATTCAACTCACCTGTACCGATTGTATGCCTTTTCTTTGAGTAACTCAATGTGGCTACGTTTCAACATCAACTTTCCTTTCTCGACAATCACTAGTGGCCGGCAGATACGACCAGCATCTGTATAGATACGGATCTCCTGATCACGATAATCACGAACCATGCTGACTTCACTGACAATCACATCAACTTGGCGACGCAGTTTTCGAAGTGTTACCATCAAGTGATCGGGTGAACTGTGAATGCCCACCCAACAACCGTTCACAAAGATTTTGCATGTCCTGAGTGTAAACATTTAGAAAAATTAAAAAGGGCCTACTTTCCGATAGCTGAGGGGGCGATTTCCTCTAGGTTCTCCATACTCCACTCCTCGAGAAACTCGAGAATAGGAGAAGGCTGACTGCCGACAGAGATGTAGGCCATAAGGGCCAAGTTCTTGACTAAGCCAACGGCGGCACCTTCTGGAGTCTCGGCAGGACATATCATACCCCATAATGTGTTGTGTAGCTGTCGGGGTCTGGCCAGTTTGCCATCCCTCCCAATGGGGGAATTAAGCCGACGTAAATGCGACAGTGTAGACGCAAATGTGAGCCTGTTGAGAACCTGTTCAAGAATGTAAACAAAAAGCATTCAATAACCTGTGAAACTCCAGGCCGAGCTTGATTAGCTTTTTTCTGATCTCCCCAATTCCCGGTCGCAAGGGAGTATTTGAGACCGTCCGTTATTATTTGGCTGCGTATGGCAAGCTCCACGTTGAAATCTTTGCCTTCATTTATGTACTTTTGTGCATACAGACGAATCTCTTTGGCAAGATTGCGGAAGAGACCGCGGAAGAGGAATGCAAGAAGAGGACCAGCCAGATCAAGGCGTTTGTTGCCGTAATGATCTCGGTCATCCACATCTCGCCTTTTCAGAGCAGTCAAGAGTAGCCGGTGAACCATATAACCGAGGAAGAAGGCTTTTCTTGTGTCGCAATAATCTGATATGCCAACATGGGGCAGCGTCTCCTTCTGAAGTATTTCCTTAGCATATTTGATGCGCTTCTCTTTCGTGACACCGGGTCTAGCACCACGAGCTCCGATGAAGTTAAGAGCTACTTTCTGCTCTTGAATGACAAAGGCCTCATCCAGAGAAGGTTTAATCATTTCACGCATTTCGGTATCTTCGAAGTCGTAAATAATATGCTCCAAAATGTCGCGGTCAGCAACAAACCCCAGAGCGCGAAAGACTATCAGGACTGGGATCTCTTGCTTGATATAAGGCAATATAGCAATTATCCTCTGACCAATTGTCGCGCGCTTGCTACTGTCTTTGCCACCTCTTGCCATGATATTCACCCAAAACGTGCTGGCTGGTCGCGAGCTGTGCTCGAGGCAGGATCGGATCTCGGTTTTGTATGCATATTTGCTGTCCTTTTGTTGAAACACATAGACTGGAGGGTAAACCCAGCAATGAACACTTACCTGTATTGGTAGCCATCTTCTCCTGAGCTATCAAGACTTTCTCTGAACCGTTTATGATAAAATATCCACCGGGGTCAAGAGGGCACTCGTTGAGTTCCGCAAGATCGCGGTCGCTCATTACAGCTAATATGCAATAACTCGATCTTAAAGGGTATATGATGAAAAACGAAAAAGTACCTAAGCATAATCGGAATCTTTCCGATAAACTTTTTTTCATATTTCTTCTCATCTTCATAACCGTCACGGATGACTTTCTTTACAACGTCCACGTAGAGGGGGGCGGCGTAGGTAAGGTTTCTAAGGCGTGCATCATTAGGTGTCATCGGGTTCGATGACCCATCTTTCTCCCAGTGTGTTGCTTTGCTAAGGTAAATCTGCTCAAATCGCAGAGCATACTGCACCTAAACCAGCCTAGATAAGACATGGTACTGTGTAGTACCGGTGTTTCGATGACACCTGACAAGTGTTGAGCTTCAGCTTGAAGCTCGATCACCGGCGAATCCTCTACGATTTTTTGAACAGAGGTTTGAATAAATTCATCGAAGGAATCCAATTGTTGTCTCACTAAACCCTTTTCGTCGAAGTAGCTGCTGATCACGATCCAGCAGGCCTCCTGCCAGAGATCAGGAGTTATTTCATCATCATCACCCTCCTGGTCATCTTCTCGCATTTGCAACTCTTCTATATCATCATCTTGAAAGTCTTCTAGTCCCTCATCCGTGTAAAATGCATCTAGAAAAGAGTGAGCGAACAGACTGGCGACCTACCCGTCATTTTCAACGAGAAGCGCACACTTTCGAACACTTAAACAAGCAGCTTACTTGGTCAAGGCTCAACGAGCGCCAGAGAGTCACAGTAGTGTAATTTTCGACTCAAGTTCCTCATAATTTGGAAGCCCTAGTTGTGTAGGGCATTTGTGTAAGGTTCTTGAGGAGATTAAACGAAAACTATGCAGTATAATGCTCAATAGAAGCTTTTCAAAGAAAGTTCTATATGCGACGAAGCAAGCAGAATGGATTCCATCTTGGCTCTCAAGAGAATAATAAAAATAGTTCTACTTTTAAACGCCAGAGATCATTGTCAAAAGTACGCTGATGCTGAGTCAACTTGTAGAATACTGTCGATGTTCACAGGAATGGGCAGTGTGAGCAGCCAGGTGTGTAGAGAATTCAGAAATTGTGTTACGTTTAGCTGGCAAAGTTTTCACTTCCACAGGCGATATGATCATTCGAATCCAACACTTTTGATGATAATGTTTACAAATTCTAAACCGGAGGTGTTTAGGAAAAATGACTATTTACGAGCAAACCAGTGAAAAAAACTCCTGATGAAGAGGCTGTGATATTTATTCAGCATTTTAACAAATTCAAAGCCAATTAACAGGAAAATCGGCATAACACTAAACCCAAATCAAACAAAAAGGCGAGTTTAACAGAAATCTGGAGAATGGAGTTAAAGAATGGAGCAGCACCAAAGAGTCAAAGTACAGAGAAGCAGCGGATCATAACAGAAACTCTGGGAAGACAACGGTTAAAAGCACGCTGGGACAGTAAGACATCGCTGCCCTCGGTGAGACCAGTTTCTTCGAACAAGACCAAATGGAGTAGGTGGGTGCCGATGATACCTTCTTCTGTGGCGGCTGTCAAAAACACGGCGGCACGAAGCTAGCGTCGTCCTTGCCATGTAGAACGGCATCGTTGGACGATTGCCCTATCTGTCGCGTAATAATAATAATAATAATAAATAATTATGATTTTTATTAAAGACCCGTCGGGGTCCCATCAAAGCAAGTAAAAATAAATTTACAGTAACGACAGCTTCATGAATCCACACCTTCTGGACTATGTTCTCGTGCAGAGGCGAAGGCAACAGGGCATGCTGGAGGCCAGACTTTTGCGACTCTGATGGCCGTGGAGGTTGCCGCCTCCTCAACTTCAATATGATGTTCCGACTGTTACCTCGCAAGACACCACAAGATAAGCAACCGGTGGAGATTTTAAACAATGTTCCGCTGAATTCGTCTGCTCAGCGCTTCGATTTCAGCAATCAATTACCTTGTGACAGGAATACCTACAGGCTTCGGACGATAACGTCACCGTGGAGACACAGTGGCGCCAAGTCCGAAACGTCATTCACTCCACCGCTCTGGACGTACTCGATCACACACGCCGTCAACACCAGTATTAGTTCGATGACAACGACGCAACTATCAGCAACCTGCTCGGCGAAATGAAGAGTAAATAAACTAACTATTTTTATTTAAGGCCCTTGGGGGTCTTATCGTAGCTAGTAACAATAAATTTTTATATGAATCTTAGAACCGGTAGACAGAATCCCCAAAGTACTCAATTCACGCTTATTGAATGAGCAGTGTGATAAGAAAAATTATTAGCGAGGAGTGAGAAAACTCCTTTATTTACGAAATAAAACAAATGCGATTGAATTAAGTTTACAAGCAAAAAAGTGCCGCTTATAAAAGAATAAGAGTTCGTGCAGGACCGGCATGAATGCGGTAGTGTATAACAGTTTCTAAGCGGCCGTCGTCAGGGCAGAAAAACCGTCACTCATGGAAGGGTAAGCACGTTGGCCAGATAGGTACTGTATAAAGGACTCGATATGGACATCGCCAAGGCCGATCCATATGACGGATGGGGCTACTCGCGTCAAAGTGGCAAGACTAGAGAAACCCAGACGCGATCGGTCACAGTCCGCTTCAAGTCCGACCGAGGAAGGGGACAAGGGAGATACGTCGATGGGATCTCTTTGCAGACCGACTAAACTACTAGCAGATGGCGAATACAGAGGGTTCCGCCGTGAGCATCCACAGACCGCTTGGGGTTGAAACGAAATGGCATCAGAAATCGCGAAAATCAACCCTGCGGGGAGTAGTAATATCAGTGGACTTAGTGGCCAATTAAAAACAGGACGTTGTAAAAGTATAACTGAGGATTTCCATTTGATTTACCACTAAATCTCAGGGCGACCCTTCTCAAAGTTAAGAAGTTGAGTGATTGGAAATGAAACGGCCAATAGTTACTGCATACCTTCTGGTGTAAGGTGTTTAGGCAATTTCAATTCGAATACCGGTAACTTGGGCGATGACCTAATTTCTGGCGGAAGATTATTCCAAAGGAAGGCATATTTGGATGCAAAAAAGAGGGAGCGCGTAGATGTAGTGCAAGGAGGCGGCGAAATCACCATGGAGGAGTTGCGCGTTGCATAACACCGATCCCTCGGAGTGAGTGTTGATGCGCGGAAGATTGGAGTTAGAGTTAATGCGACAAAGGAGGCAAAGGCCAACTTCGAGTCCTCTAATTCATAAAAACTTAGTGTTCCCCAGCCGAAATCTCTGAGTATAATAAATACCAGATGTAGCTTGAGATAACAGTTTCCGGGTGAAAACTCTCTGAATGTTTTCGATTTTATTACGGTCACAGGCCTGCATTAAGCCGAAGTAAGGGCGGCAGTATACGAGGACAGGCATACCAAACATTTGATAAAGTCTTAGCTCCACTTCCGGAAGAGGAAAATTATGCGATATGAACCCACATACCTGTGCATCTTTAACAGAGATTCTGTCTGCATTAGGTGATGAAACAAGCTTATTTTTATAGCTTAAATCTAGGTCCTTTATGGCGAAAACTTCTGAGCGTGGGTTATCCTGAAAAATTAGGGGACCAGGAAACTTGGCCTAACCAAAAGACACGAAAATACACTAAGACGATGAAAACTCTATCCACCACATTGAACTCCGTCTGCTTAAGCGTAGTAAATCAGCATTATTTTTTCCCGCGCAGACATTTGCCGTGTCCTTATAATATGGGAAAACATACTTGAGGTCATCGACATAAATAGAATTTTGCGAATTTCTGACTCCAGTCGAAATAGCATTGATGCATATCATTGATTATTGCATAAAAATACACCGAACACCGTACCAGCGCTTTGTCAATCCTCATGTAAAATAGGAAAGCCTTGATCGGGTGTAAATATAATCCTCCTTATTACTCCGGAAATGAAAGCTAACTCTGTAAACTCTTTGAAAAAATCGTAGAGACCTTATTCGACGTCAAGCTAATGGTAGACTTAAATTTGCCATAAAGTGGCTGACACACACAGGCTTCCTCTCCTGAATTCCAGAAGCTTCTAGACATCATTCACTTTCCAAAAATCTCTTAATTAGTCCACTCTTCGACCGGAAACGATAGTGTATTAGATTTAATTTTCACTAATGGCATCATTCCTTTATCTACGGATTTCCATCATGACCTTTTTGCAAGTGATCATGCATTGATTCATTGTCGCCTCCCAGTCGCCATTTCCGCAAAGCCAGCGTAGATTTTTGCTAAGCTAATGTTAACGATGAATTAGCAAATAATTTTACAAGCACTCTTGATTAGCACAATTTTTTTTCAAATACTGATCTAAATTTTTTCTACGATTTATTACAGTGCGTAACGGAGGTCTTCTAGACCTCATTCCGCAAAAAGACGTTTAAACCGAGTGCAACTTCCCCATTGTCCCACACTTTCTTAAAAACAGACTTAAAAATATACGTAAGCAGCTTAATGATCCTTCCATAAGCTTATTATCGGTTCACATAGGAATCGCTGAAATAT